TGTTTTAAGGCTCTGAGGACTCAACCACAGAAAAACAGCCTTCTTCAGTTACTGTTTCCTGCAATTAATTAATAAAGATCTCTCTTTTTCAAGAACAGCTAAGAGATTCTCTTAGCTGTTCACGGCATTAAAGCAAACCTAAGTGTGGGATGTAACCTCATGGAAATTATTCCAGAGTTGTATAAATAGGACCAGGTGCTTTGCCATATTAATGACTCTTTCTTCAAAGTGAACGCAACCGTACAGACTGATGCTGCACAGGGATTTAGCAGCTGTTTGCTGAAGCCATGGATCAAAGAGGAATGAGCCAACTTAACATCCTCCATTTCTGTAAGCGGGTCATTCTCTTAATATCCTGAAAATTAATTTTAAAAGGGAATCTTGTCAAACTTTGTAGCAGAAATTTTTCTTTTCCACAGTTTTCATTCTCTCCAATACACGCATGAAGACAGCATCCTGTCAGAATTTCAACTCTACACACGTCAGCTGTAACAGAACATTTTCCTTCACCAGTACCCAGGAAAGACATTGACCTTCCCTTCCATACAGAGCTTGCCCCAATTACCCATGAAAGCCATTGCTAGATACTGCAGTACGTGGTAGCGCACAAAGAAGCCACCAGCCATTCAAGTCACAAAACTCTACCAAGCTCTTGGAGGATTTTAGTCTCATAAAAGAAAAGGACTCACAAATCATCTTTAGAAGAGACCAGGATAGAAGACACACATTTTTATTTACATTGTAAAGTTCTCTATAAAAACTGATTTCCAACATATTTTGAACTATGGTCTTAGAAATTAAAAAATTTTATTCTAGGCTGCTATGTAGAAAATGCCAATTTGGCAACAGGTTAACGCTCTTGGCCACCTTTTTTGCATGCCTTAAATGTACTTCACAAACAGGCAACTCCTGACCTAAGTGATAAACTTTGTATATGTTATTAAAACACTCACACATAGAAAATGACCTTCATTTTATCATGTTTTAACAACCACAGAAAGTTATAACCAGCAATTTATTTCTGCAATATGAAAATTCAAGAAGTTGCCATTACTGGAATTTACTTAAAGGTTTAGTTATATTTCTTGTGTGTTTGAACTTGTGTCCATCTGTGTGATGGAATTATACAGCAAGACAGCTTGACCTGCAAAAGGTGGGTTTGTTTTTTTGCTGTTGTTTTCATATCACGAGTGCCCTAGTGAACAAGAAGCTGACCACAAGCCAGCAGTACACGCTTGATCCATCCCCTCTACTCAGCATGGGTGAGGCACACCCAGAGAACTGGTGGGCTCACCAGTACAGGAGAGGCATGGAGAGATGTATGGGAAAGTCCACTAGTGGGCCTTGAAGATGACTAAAGGACTGGAGCATCTTTCCTGTGAGGAAAGGCTGGGAGAGCTGGGACTGTTCAGCATGGAAGAGAGAAGGCTCAGGGGATCACATCCGTGCGCACAAGCAAGTGATGGGAGGAGTAAAGATGATGGAGGCAACTCAGCTTGGCAGGGCCCAGTGACATAGATGGGGCAGTAGGCACAAACAGGAAGCCATCAGAAAAAACTTCACTGCTCTGAGGGTGGTCAGACAGAGAGTTTGTGGAGTCTCTGTCCCTCTGAGATGTAGGACCTGGCTGTACACCACCCTGAGCAATCTGCTGCAGGTCACACTGCTCTGGAGAGTCCCCTGGCCTCAGCAGTCCATCCCAGAGCTGTCCAGGAAGCTCTTCCCTGGGCCCTGTAAGATCATGGGCTTGCCTTGATTTTGTGGAGGAGGGCTGTTTCCAAATACTCATCCGTCTTTGCTGTGAACACAAACTAAATTAGGCACTTGGGTAATAACTAAGACTCCCAATACAGGACACAGCCCTGCTCTGAGACTGGGGCTGGCAGGAAGGCTGCACTGCAAACACAGCCCAGCGGGTGGGCACCCCAAAGCTGCACCCCTGCAGCACAAGGCGTGCGCTTCCACAGCGCTCTGCGCACAGAAAAGGGACCTGGGGCGTCCATGGGGGACAGAACTGCTAAAACATCAAGCAAAATATGTGCAGATGAATGTCCTGACACACTGAGCATTTATACAATTGTCCCTAAAAGGGGAGTTTTCATCTTTTGCTTTTGATGCTTCCCATCAGGCAGGTTTCCACAATAAATGTGTCCAAACTATCTGCTTTGGCTATGGCTCAGAGAGAGTTTTCCTTCAGTAGTTTAAAGCATTTTACTGCCATGAGGTCAAGGGGAGGGGGCTCCTCTTCACGCAGCAGAAATTTGTCATAGGAAAGCAAGCCCTAAAAATATGATATCTGTATTTAAAAATTCATCAATACATAATAATTAGAAGCCAACCAACCTAAAAACACATCTTTCTTTAATGTAACCCTCATGGGGAAGTACCTAAAATGGTCCACCTGTAAATGCTGGATTAACAGAGCTTTATACACCGTGACAAGGGATTTAGAAAACACCACCACACACCACCACAGCTTCCCCCCAAAAAAACACAGGAGCATAAAATGCTTAGGGAAGGAGCCACTAACAAAGAGGGGGACAGAGGTGGAGAGGGAGGAAAGAGGGAGCTTATTTTTTAATCTGTGCTCGCTCCCTCCTCTACTTTAAAAAAAAAAAAAAAAAAAAAAAAAGAGTTGCTAGTTGCTGATGTCATCAAAGTGCTAACATTAATCACTCACAGCATCACTGGTACACGCACAAGAGCATATAACTGGGAGGTTCAGGCAGTACACTGTCCAAGGAGAGGCAAGCAAGAGAGAGTTGGGAAAGACATTGTTTTTTCTCCTCTATGCTCTTTGAAAAGCAAGGCAACAGCATCTTCAGACGAGATGTGCTCTTGCACGAATTTAAGTGGAAGAGACAAAGAAACCATGCCACCAGCAGCATCGGAGGAAAAAAACTGAAAGCACCAAGCAGTGACAATTCAGTCCAGGGAATCTGAGGGGAAGAAAAAGCAAATTGAAAAGCAGAGATCAGGCAGGAAGTAACTCATCTGAAAAGGGATACAGAAAACTTAGGGCTTGTATCATTTTCACAGCAGCATCACCATATGAAAACTCTGCTTTGAAATTCCCATCAGGAAGTGACGGTAAGTTCTGACTTTATAATCCATAAAACATCAAATGGGTCTTCCAAATATTTATATGTCAGTAATTATGTGTCTTCTAATAACCAATGCTTTGTAACCACTTTGGCATGTACTACTGTTAATTAATTAAAATCCAAATATTCTACTTACAAAACTCTGTGAGGATGAATCTACTGTTGCTAGACTGTTAGGAAGTGTTCTATTAAAAATAAATTATAATTTAAAGTAATTTGGATCTATCAGCTACAGAAGACAACTGATCAAGTAACAGCTCTGATTGTACTACTGTGACTAACTTTAATATCTACAGAATTTGAGTAGATGCCAAAATGTATCTAATAAGTTTATTTAATAGCAAACTCAGTTCCTTTATATTGTTGCTATATCAAAAAGGGTGCATTTACCACAGAATTAGAATGGCAGCAACTACCCAGATCAGTCACATCTAAGGTTTTAACATTGTAATGAAAACAAACATAAACCTTCTTCTTCCCACTTCCCAATAAGTATAATCCAAAAGCCTCAAGCAACCATTTACATACATAGCCACAGAATTCTTATTATTAATGTAACTATCAAACTCCCACTAAAATAATATATATATTGCCAGCCTCCTATTTAGTATAAAATACAATCCAAATATAACAGAATAATTTCAGAATGTTATGAGTAAATCTTAAAAGCTTTCTTCATCACAAGAATTTTCAATAGTCAACTCTTACTTAGCCAGGAGACTTAAAGTCCTTCATGAAAAAAACTTTCACATGAGTGCCACCAGAAACTGACTATTAGAAATAAAAGAATCAGATTAAAATGCTGAGGTTGGCTCTTTTTCAAAAGCTACCCTCACAATGGTAAAAGGAAAAAAAACTAAACAAATGAAAATACTGGTTGCTATTACAGATTCTATACTAGAAGTGTTTAGAAAATTGCAGAAAACAATGTTTTCCTTTCACTATTCACAGTGGTAACACAAACTAAGAATCTCAAACTACTGGCAGTTTTCTAATTTTAATTTTATTCTGAGGAGGAGTATAAATTCAGGGCAGACAGGCTATGGAATTCCAGACAATCCCTTGTATTGAAGAATACTAGCCATTTTAAAACACCCCACTATTTATCCAAAAGGTATGCTATAGCGAAAGCAACTAAGCTTAGTTTGAGAAAGTTTTTCCAAGAGGCTGAATAACATGAAGATTAAATACTGTGATACTGATGCTACCAATCTACAGTCGTCCTACCCGCTGCTCTAGCAGTGGCTACAGGTTTGCTAAGTTACCAGCAAAAACTGGAGAGTATTGGCAAATAAGAAACTAATGTAAAATTATAGTTCAAACAAAATAATATCTGACTGTGTTTCCACATGCTTTTTTTTCAATTGATAGTGACTGGCAAAAATGAAGATATTTAGATGGTAGAGGAGTTTGTCCCTCAATGTCCACTTCTGCCACCCCTCTCTTGCCACTTAACAAGTCAGACTACAGAGAAAAAAAAGCAGCTGCATTTCTTTTTCAGTCATCTAAAAAAAAAAAAAAACCAAACTGTGAAAGGAAGTGGTTCCCTGACTGCCAACTCTGCAAAATACACCACCTCTCATGGAGACAAGACACAGCTGGTCACCTGCACAGGCAGAAGCTCCAGCTGAATTTCTATAAGCGTATGTAGATCCTCTCACTTTGGAAAGAAATATACAGATTTAAGTACCACAACCTTAATGAACTCCCACTTTTACACAGAAACGCATAGTTTCCTAATAAACTCCTTTGCTAAATTACAGAGTACTACGATTAAGATTGACACGACATCCTCAGTGCTGCAACTTCTCAGCTATCTCCTCAGGAAACAAACATCTTCCCTTTCCACAGTGAGATCAGCATCAGGAGAGAAAAAAACGCCTGAGCAACGCCCCAATGGGAATAACTGTCCAAAACATCACAGGAACCACAGCAATGGTCATTTGGCCAAAAATGGCGGGTTGTGCCGACAGCTTTTACAGCATCATGTACCACCCCAACTGGAACAGCATGCTATCCAGTTACTCAAGGAAGAGCTTCCAGAAGGAAGAGAGGGTTCCCACCAGCCGCTCCTCCTTTGTTGTTGAAAACCTCACTCCACTGACCACGTACATTGTGTGCGTGACCTGCCAGTCTGCAAACCCCTCCAGTGACCAGTGCAGGGTTTTCACCACACTGGAGCGAGACCCGGCGTCCGTCAGCAACACCAAGAGAGAGCTGGCACTGGGCATCTGGCTCACCAGCAGCGTCCTGCTCCTCATCATCGCTGCCATCCTCCTCTACGGCTGCCTGCACCTCCTGTGCCGCAGGAGACGAGAGCGTCTGCAAGGGCAGAACGGGACCTCCAAGCAAGACCACGGGAGGGTGTGGACCAAAAGTGCAGCGTACGCCTCAGAGGAGCTTGGCAGGCAGAGCCAGCTGATGCAGGACACCGAGGAGAAGCATCCAGGCACCATCCAGCTGGCTACAATCATAGAGAACCCCTCAGCAATCAAGGAGCCAGTCACGCTGACTTCCAAAAGCCGGGAGCGAGTGCCAGTGACAGGACAGTGCTCTGCTATAAATTAGAAATCTTCTGGCAGGGAGGAGATTTTTACTACGTATGACATCCCAGCTTCTTCAGAGGCATCACATGTGTGGTTGGCACTCACAACAGGGAGACTCCAGCTGCTCACCCTGGAGCTCCTGGCTGTGCCTCCAGTGCCACATCCCTCCCCAACAACCCAGAGGCACCCAGAGGCAAAGGCTGGGATCCCCAAGGAGTGAGCACTTCAGCTGCACTGCGCGATTTAAAAATGAAGCATGTAGCAAATAATCACTGTACATTTTGAGGGGATTTTTTTGGTTGCTTTCTTTAGTCTAAACCAGTAACCAAACATTTAAAATGAATCAAATGTGACCCATAGAGTTACTGGTTTGGTTTTTTTGTTTGTTTGTTTGTTTTTTGTTTTGGTTTGTTTGTTTGGTTTTTGTTTTTGTTTTGTTTTGTTTTTCATTTTTACTAGCATAAATAAAACTGAGTAGAAGTTTTCAGATGGCAACTCAGACTGCTTCACATACACCTTGAGCACAGTGGTTTGGCAGTAGGAGATTTAACCCTACAATCTCAGCTGCTTCTCAAACTACACACTACAAACTACTACGCCACGTAGGCTACACACTTCACCACCACAGTGCTCTCCAAAACTCCCATCTGAATGAGGCCAGTCTCAGCGTGTAAGCTAAGCTCACCAGGACTTTAATGGTATCCTTTTGTCTGTCTTTGGAACATTCCCTCAGTCTAAAAACATGTGTGAGACAGTGAATCTGTGAGGGTGCCTCTAACAACACTAAGGAAATAGGCTGGGTTATCGTACTTTGTGCTCCTCTGTTACTCACCACGAGCCACTTCTGCTCCACAGGCAAGCAACTCTGTAGGGGAAACAGTGTTCAGAGAAGCAACTCCTGGCCCTTCCAGTTTTAATGATAAAACTCATTCACTAGCTACAGATTTCTATCTAACCACACTGTATGTTCTGTGTAATGACAGGGCAAGGAAGTAAGTCCATGGCCAAACACATTTTACTTTTGTAACAAGCAAATGTGCTGATCATCTCACTCTGCCTTGAGCTTCAGGGCAAAGCATAAAGAAAGGCTCTTTGGACAGAAAACTCTTCACCCCCAAAACATGACAAGTCTTGTCTGGTTTATACGTAGAAGTCACTGGTCTAAGTCTCTTAAGTGCATTTGTGTTCCATAAAAACCTAATAAATCTTAGTATTGCTGCATAGTATGGTATGTGTAGAAAACAAAGATACACTGTGACTGCAGGCATTTTAAACTGCTACTGATATGAAGTATGTGTAAAGTCAGCTCCTGTTGACATAGGTTGTACCAGTAAAGACTGGAGAACTGCTAGCTGGACAGCTGCCATTCCCTTCCACCATGCCCTGGAAGCCAAGGTGGTGTACAGCTCTGGCAAGACAACACCCACCCAATATTTCACAGTGAGCAGCAGGCCTTCTCAGCTACTGAATTTTGACAACATTTCCCACAATTTGTGAATGACGTCAGCTCTCACGTTGCCAGGAAGACACGAGCTGGCATAAGTTTGATGAATCATCTTTACTCTTTTTTCCTACTCGGATAGGTATGACACACAGAGACGCATGCTGAGTGGGGGCGAGCGTTACTTTTAGAAACTCTTCAAAAGGCATCTTCATTGTGTTAAGTTAACAATACTGCGTTCTCCATCCCCCACACAGCATGTCCTCTGTGTGTTTTTCTTTGTCTTACACATCAGTCTGAAATAAACTGTGACGACGACAACAGTCTACCACTGTTTGAAGAGAACGGGCTTCATTAAACACACGGAAACACTCTCCTCAGAGCATGAAGACAACACTAAGGGTTTACTGCCAAAAAAGGGTGGCTGGGCAGTGGGGACAGATAAAAATGTTTTAAAATAGTCTTCTAACTAACTTAACAGTAACACTTCTCTGACCAGGATTTCATCACAGAGAGAAAAGATTATTTTAATGTTAAAGGGATGGAGCCAACACATGGGGACATATATTCTCATCTCTGTCAACATGTTGGGGCCTTGAAAACCTGTTTACTTTCTCTGCATGTCTGCTTACGTTGGTTTTAAAACAGCAAATATAGATATTTACATGCATTTATATGCTATACACACATGGAGTGGTTCAGTTTTAACAAAGTTTTGAGGCAATTCACCTACTGAATTTTGTTATTTACAACACAAATACACATACACAAAAAGACACATGTATATCAGATTGAGAAGGCAAGGAGCTACCATAAAAGTGCTCCCAGGTATGGGATTTACATCTAAGTATAAAGCCATTTCACCCAAGGAGTTTACTGTGCACTACTTAGATTAACGTATCACCTCCCAAGCAATGGACCATCTTGCACCACTGCAAATGAGCAAAGCATAAGGAGTGTCGTCTGACTTCTTCTGCATTAGTTTTGAAGAACCTAACATCACACACTCAGAGCTACATGGTTCTTTGTCTCTTGCTCTGAAAGTTTTATTACAGGTTCATTCAGGTTCGTTCTGTAACTTAGGTGTTTTGGTAGTTCACTGTCCAGTTTCAACAGTGATCTAGTAAGGGGCAAACATTCTAAGTGATTACTAAATGGACAAGATGCCACATAGTGCAAACTGATGTTAATTTGTGCACCAGCAGTAGATAAAAATCATTACATTCCCATTTAGAAGTATTTTCCAAAGGTGTCTTTTTTCCCAAAACAAATGAGTAAGTATCTACAAAATGCAGACACCATACAAACACAAAAATCTTTGTAAAATGGTGTATAAGCTAGAAAGGAAGCTCTTAAATTCTGGTCAACATATCCTCTATAAAACCAGGTACTTCATTAACATGTAAAGTTCGTTCCAAATCCCTAGATGAGACACTTTCTTACAAGTACATTACTAAGTATTCTATGCGTCCTGTCCAGTTACCCAATTTCAGTCTGCTAACATTCATTCCATTAATCCTACACACACTTCTCCTGAGTAAAGGGATTTCAATGACCATACTCAATGAGGTTTTGAAACATACCAGCTCACTTAAAAGGCTGAGCAGGTTTTGGAGGTCATCTCCTGCCCACCTGATGGCTCTGCTCCCATAACAGCCAGGAGGAGTAAGTTTTTGGTGTGGTTTTCTATCTTGCTAACTGGATGAAGATAGCACTCAGAAACCTTTAGATGCAACAGAGAATGTGGACACAACTGTCTCTGCTAAGCATCAGTACACATTAATATAGACCAAATGTGCTGATCCATTTAGAAATAACTGAGGATATGGGAACACTCTGAGATCAAAACTAAAAATTTCTTAAATTGCTCTTAAGCAAACACATTGCTTGTGCAAAAGTTCTGCACAAAAAGCATTCAGCCACTAGCGTTGATTATATGCATGTAGGAGTGTACAAATGCACAAGAATCCACAACACTCTTGTCTTGATCTAAATAAACATGGATTGGTAAAGCCCCCCCCCCCCAATCAAATCCTCCAAAAAGCCAAAAAAAAAACCAACCCAACCAACAACAAAGTCCAATAAGGCAAACAAAAAGTCATATTCTTTGGCTATATGCTCAATACAAAGTGCTCACCTGAATGTCTTGACTAATTCAAAAACTCAGAGAAACAAACAAAACAAAAGTAAATAAACATAATTACTCCATACTCCACTGTTATGCAGTCAGGAGGCAACTCAACAATATAGCCATTAAAGGACCAAACAAGAGATGTGCTCTGTGACAAGCCTGGCTATAGAGTACACAAAATAATATAATGCAACTATATCGCACATGAGGACGTGGAGCCTCTATAATGTAGGAATTGCTGTTACTTGCTATATACAATAGAAACAGCCCTCAAATTCCATTCAGATATCCTCAATTCCAAAATACCTTTGATTCAAGAATGAAAATATATTTTCATAAAAATTTGAAACTACAGAGTGTCAGGACTGTTTTCTAATATAGACTTATCTAGTCATGAAGCTTGCTCCACAAATGCATCTAGAAACCCCTTTGATTGCCCCTGCTCCTATGGAAAAATAACCAGATTTTTGAAAATGTATAGTTCTCAGAGTAAACATTACTAAACTCATTTTAATAACCTAACCTGACTGATAACAAAAGCATTCCCTAGTTCATCACTTAGACAAATTAAGTTAGCAATCTGTACTAAATTCAGTGGGGGTTTTGCTCTTTACACCACATATGATGAGCACCTAAAATAGTAAGGAACACAATAACTGTAATGTAAGAAAATCCTGCTCCCCTATAACTTCCTGTTCCCTGTTGTAGAACATTTAGATAAAACACTATTCACAGCACCAGATAATCAGCTGTTACATTAATTATTTCTGACTGGGTACAAAAGATATGTTTATATGTTAATGTGCTGTGCCTTTAACTGTCATTAGGCCTCCGGTAATAATTCTGAAGCATAAGAAAATAAATCTGGAGTGATCAGGGAGAATAAATCTATTCCTCCAACCTACGATACCACACACAGGAATGTAGCATTGGTCCTGTGAACACAGGCTAACTTTCCTCACCTGGAAAGCAAGAAATCTGCAAAGCAAGAAATCTGCAAAGCAAGAAAGATGAGGCTAATACAGGAGATGAGATAGCCAGAAGGCCAAGTTCATCACAGTGACTTCAAGGTCCTTGTGTTGAAGATGCCAAAGAAATACTACTCTATTGCTTGGTTGGTTGGCTTTTGTTTTGTTTAAATAATTTAAGCAGTTTGGTATCTGATAGTTTAGGATGGTTAGAATCTATATTGCTTTTAAGTCAGACAACACCTGAAGCAGTTTTTCCTATCTCTTCCCTTTTCTGCTGCCATCACAGTCTCCATCACTGTCACAAGGGAGCAGCTGCACCCAAGATGGGCTCTTGTTCTCACTTCATCAGATGACTAATTAATCTTTTCTTTGAAACTGCTCTGCCAATATAAGCAACTGTGCAATGCAAAGTGGTTGGGAGAGAGATTTATTTTCAGCTATGTCAGATAAGACTAACCATCAGACTAATCACTTGCACT